TAATCCCAGTTCCATTCAGTTACTGGGGAGAAGAGGCTCACTTAAGTATGACTTGCTGTGTGGACAGAACTGGCTTTATCACAAAGAAATTAAAGCTCAGGACCCTTTCCTGAGGAAATGAGTTTACAGAGCCAGTCTTGTTTCTGAAAAACTTCCAAAATTTATATACTTTACTTTTTTTTTTTTCCCTTAAATAGGGCCTTAGACTTCAGTTCTAAAACTAGACCCTCCGGGTTTGGATGAAAAGCTCTTATCTAATCCATATCATGCCATGTCACCACTGAATCAACAAATGTGCTGTGTTGGTGGTTTCCAAACACACCTTGTTCATGTGTAATAAGGACAACACAGGCAATACAACTCTTCAAGTATGTTTCTTACCTGGATTATCCTAAATACTGACCTCATCAACATACTTCATATGATATTAATATCAAAAGCCTTAAAAGGAGCTTTTCAAATGATTCAGAAATTTTAGGACACCTCTGGATTTGTAGTTTTTTCCCCTAAGAAATCCCCTCACAAGGCCAGCAAAAGGGCAAACGAGCTATGACCCAGGGAAGTAGTTCTCAAACTTAAGGCCACTAAAATTTGCCATGAGAGCTGGTTCAGAGTCCCACCCCCGGAGGTTCAGAATCTTTAGGTCTAAGGTGGGGCCCAGGCGGATCCTTCCAGGTCTCAGGAGGTTGTACATGGGATGAACAGAGATAGGTTAGTGGCCGCAGTTGTAGCTCTACCACTGTGTGACCTTGAGGCAGAGAGAAGTAATGTGCATTTAGAGAAAACGTAAAATAAGGTTAAGAGACAGAGACAGTAACAGGATAACTGGAACTCTCAGAAACGCAGGTGGAGTCAAATCCACAGCATTTGCTAGGGTGTGGCCGGCCCCCCGACTTCTTCACCGGAAATCAGGCTGCAGAATCGATCTGTGAGGGTCTCGGGAAAGCAAAGGCACAGTGGCTCGTCTCGCTCAGAAGTCACGCCTCATTTTAATCTCCAGGCACATGGAAGCAGCATCAAACCAGGGAGTGGGGCCCCACGCCCGCCGTCCTCCCGCCCGCGCCCGCGCCTAGACTGCAGGATGGGGGTCTCCACACACAAAGCCAGACCCCGGCCGTGGGAAGATGGGACCAGCACGATTCGGGCGAGTGGACCGGAATTAACAGACTTCAGGTCGTGGCAGCAAAAACCAGGAGAGACAGGGCGCCACTAGCCAGGTGATTCTTTATTACAAGTTAGGGTATGGAGGAAGAGGGGAGTGAGCCCCAGGTCTGGAAGAACGCTCCAGGGGGAGGCATGTGTCAGCCTCACGTACCCTCGGGCACCCCCTCCCCCCACGCAGGGTTCCGAGCTAATGCGCGGCGACCCTCGCCCGCCCGCTGGGGGACACCGTCACCCGCCCGTCCCAGCAGGGCTGCATGCGGGACCCCGAGTGGCTCCCTCCCCGGAGACCCCGCCCGGGCCCGGCCGCAGGAAATGGCGGGGCGGGCGCGGGAAGCACGGGCTA